AATAAGGAATGCCAGTTTTGTCATTCCGAGCCACGGCTTCGCAAGCAAAAAACCAAAAATTCAGTTTGTCAAAAATTGGTCCCAGCAAGAAATGGTAAGAAGAAGAAACGGTGAATCACTCTGATTATGATTCATCGTTTGAGAATGAAACTTTGGCACATTTGGCCTCTTTTTGTCATGAACCGAATAATTCAGCAATGAAAGCATGAGACGATTGGGTAAAATGTTTATAGTTGGTACCTGTGTTAAAAATAACCATCTCGGCAACCCCAAAATGAGGTTTGGCATACAGAGAATGGGTACTGGCTGGAGGCATGCAGCTCAGAATCAAAGTGTCTGGCATAACTACACTCGGCACATTGAAGAATTTTGTTACATCACTTATACGAGATCCTTACACCGACTGGCCGAGTTGTTTCGATGTTCCAGGATCCACAGTTGTTCGTTATTCTCATCAACCGAGCTTTTAATTCGCTAATAAGGAAGGTAATCTCTTCGCGTTTTGTCTATTAATTTCGATAACATAGCTCACCTAAAATGCTAGCGTTTGGCTTCATCTCCACCTTGTTTCTCCGGCAGCCATCCGAAGAGAGGGAAAGAGGCAAAGGCGGGGGTGGGGAGAGGGGGGAAGGAAGGGGGGAGAAGGACCTTCAATTCCGACTGCCTCCGTCTCTTACCGAAAGGTCTCAGGCCGTGAAACAATAACAATTCTTTGATCCGATCAATTAAATGCGCATGAATCCGGCGCACCGACAGATATATGAAGATGTCCGGTTGGCAAATGCGTACCAGCTGAGGTCATACACGTTACCGTCGCTTATTTCGCCACCCAGGAATCGATGAGCGTCAGTTACGTTTGCTCCGTCGTACAAATCCAGATAGCAGTCTGGTCGAATGATTGCCAGCGTTATACGATCGTTCCACTTAAAATTAGCATCAGTGGGAGAGTTTAATTTCGAAAAAAATAATTTTAATAAATTACCAAAAAAAGTACAAGAAATAATTTTGATAAATTACCAGTAAGTATCAAAGTGCTTCTCTCGGGGGAAGCTATTAAGCCTATAATTTCTCTAGGAGACAAACGAAACACAGGACCGCCAGTAACTTGAATAGTACTATAACTGTGCATTATCAATAGAGAATACACAGGATAATACTGTTCAAGTTATTGGCGGTCATGGTGTTTCTTTTGTCTCCTAGAGAAATTACAGGTTAATAGATTCCCCCGAGATTAATAGGTTTTAGAATATTTGTGAGCAAGATAAAAACAGTAGCTAGTTTTGCTGACTTCGGCAATGTTTTTTCAAATTTGTAAAACCACAAAACTGTCAAGGTTTTCGGGAAGCCACTTAAACGAGGAATGACGATATTGCAGCATTGTTTTAGGATTACTACTGGAATAGGGCTCCAGTACTTTGCGGTTCGCGACGAGACTGGATTAAGTGAACGTTCCAATCCAATCTCTGCTATTTTGTTTACCGAAACGATCGCGTTACAGAAATCTATCAACTTGCAGAAATTTCATAATATAGGAGCCTATTTTTTTAGCGAACTACATGTATTCACATTCATATATGCAGACATGATCTCGTAACAAAGATTAAAATTCATGCAGAATCCCTAAAATTTGAACAAACAATACCAGATCATTCATTGCCATTTCTTCTGAATCCTCTTTCACCGCGTAAAATGTGTCCGAGCAATTGTTGTCTACGAACAGAAAGGCACATATCGGTGGTGGAATATTCTCGGAAACGGGACATACAGCCAGCGCTGTGAAAATTAAAAGCAAAGCAAAAACTGCACAGAATAGACAACGTTTGGTGTTAAAATTCAATAATCGGAATATCCTCATACTATTTCCTAAAATATTCATATTAGTTATAGTATTTGATCAAAAATTTCAAATTGCGATTTGTCAGGAAAAAAATCAAACAGCGAAAACTACCATCTAAAAACTACTGATCCGTTTCGTCAGTACCCGGAAACATGCGAATTCCAGGATCAATCGGTTCCAAGTTCAGATCTTCTTAACCAAAATAGAAATCGGCGTTCTTTGTGATTAATCAAAGTGTAACCTTCCAATCATCACCGTTGCAGCAAAATAGCAAAACCCGCCAGAGGGACGAGCTAGCTTTTCCTGAGTCACCTAGATGACTTGCGAGCGCTTGCACTGTCAAACCTTCTCTGTTTTCGATTTTAAATTTATAAATTCTATTAATCTGATTCAACGATCAAAGTTCAAATTATAACGACTAAAAACTGAATTCAATCAACACGCACATCCAGAATACTACCGCAGTCGTTTGAATCGTTACTGTTGAACTATCACTGTTATTGAAATGTAATTATTACAGTGAGTGCAGCTGTAGTGGATCAATCTCTTTAAGCTAAATACCTTTTTGTTTTCTAATAAACAGGCAATGGATACCAACTGGAGGTATGCAGCTCAGGATCGAAAGGCTGAAACAGATGCGCCGGATGTCTGAAAGCACCCAAATAACACCACTACTGTCGAATGTCTGAAAGCATCCAAGTAACATTACTAATATGGGACATTCACGTGGGCAGCATGGTTTTCTTTGTGAAAAATCAACCAATTTTCCACAATAAATCGTTTTTGTTCACAGAAGCAAATCGAAAATATAGTATTCTAACGTAGAGTCTTCCACATATGGCGAACAAGCAGAAGACGGAGATGAACAAATAATCGCAAAATTTTAGTAACCAAAATTACAGATCCGCTTTGATATTCAATCTGGGGAGTTGATCTGACTTGAGTTCCCATAAACAGTTCAAATCCCAAGGCATCCACACAGGGTTTTTTAAAGAAAAGACGAGAAAGCACCTGTGCCAGTCCACCCCCTCTCGAACTCCGACGCTTCACACTCCAACATTCTGGATGAACCAAGGTCATCTATTAGCAATCAGAAGCTATGTTATCCAGAATGGTTTTTCAAAAGAGAAAAAAATAAATAGCAGCGCAAACCAGGGCACCAGGAGCATCTCTGCGGGGAACCTTGCTGTCAAAAGTGTCCACTGCATTACTGTTTGAGACGCTACATGTTAATTTTGGCGCCAAAACTAATTTATACGCAGGCGAAGAGCATTATTCTGAATTATCAATCTTCTAGATTTTCTGATTTCCGAGTCAATAATTTTTGTCCCAACAACTTTCGCGCACCCTCTTTCAACATGTGTGTGTATGTACCATAAGGGCGCCAACGTTCATTTTACGCCTAGGATCACGCACATAGAAGTAGCCTAATTTTCAGGTGCTTTTTTTTGAAATTGGCGCAGTGAAAAAACGTACACTGATGAAAAAAAAAATGTACCGTACACGTTGTATATTTTATCATACGTTGTTTTTTTTACAACGTATTTGCTACATATAGTATATTGCACATATATCTATCTATATATGTATGAGTACGTACATATATAGTTGAAAATACTCTAAGTTTATGCGCACGTAAAATTAACTTCCGCTTTTCCGTCTATAATCACATAAAAACTAATTGGCTCTGATTAAGGTTTTAGGAAAAAAGGCGCTTGTGCGCAACACTTCAAGAAGTCGCCATTAACACTATAGGTGTGAATTTTTTTGTATAATTCGAAAAAAAGCCGAATACGGCCTGAGTCTGTCTTTACCGTACATGTAAGGGTTCAGAGATCAGCGTCCTAGTGCCCCATGTACGCTTAGTGAGAGAGTACTGTCTGCATCACTGGGCAATGTGTTAGTCGGGAATCCACTTACTGTCACATTGTCGACTAGGTTTAGCCTCGGTGACAGCCACACCAACCCAGGTTAACATGGCGATGTGACGGGTAGTCTATCGCCAGATTCTATTGTCCCAATTGTGGGCTGCTCGCAGTTGGCAGCTGGGACTAATTTGTAATGTTTGTGAAATAAAGGGGTTTTGGGTTGGGGGTGGAGGGAGGTTGGGGAGTCGAGGGGGTTTGTTGGGGGATGGAGGGGTGGTTGGGTTTGTGGAGTGGAGGGATGGTTGAGTTTGTGGGGTGGAGGGGCTGGAGGGGTGGTTGGGTTGGGGAGTGGAGGGATGGTTGGGTTTGTGAAGTGGAGGGCCTGGAGGGATAGTTGGGTTCGCGAAGTGGAAGGGCTGGAGGGATGGTTGGGTTTGTGAAGTGGAGGGATGGTTGGGAAGTGGAGGGGTGGTTAGGTTGGGGAGTGGAGGGATTGTTGAGTTTGGGGAATGGAGGGATGGTTGGGGAGTGGAGGGATGGTTGGGGAGTGGAGGGATGGTTGGGTTGGAGGAGTGGAGGGATGAATGGGTTGGGAAGTGGAGGGAAAGTTTCTTATGCATTTTGTGTGTGCGACAGCAGTACATAAACAGCAAGGCGCACCAGACTAACGGCTGCGATCATGCGTTTTGTGCAATTCGGCCCACCGGACGATTACCTATTAATGATTTTCACTGTTTTGTACTTTAGTCTATGCAAAAAAAGTTGAGATGTTGAAAAACAAAAAAATTTCACGCACCGGCACACGAACGTTGAATTTGAAACTTTGAAGGGTGAATATCTTTCCGTGATTCCCAAAATAATAGTTTACCCGCCAAAATTTTCACGAAGCCGTAAGTGATACTCGAGAGCGCGGGAATGTTGAATTTGAATTTGTGAGGTTGTACGTGGACAAGGGGCCATTACCCTAAAATTTCAGCTTCCTAGACTCCGTGGTTCCCGAAATAATGATTTTACCCGCCAAAACTTTTGCGAAGCCATTTGTGTTACCCGCGGGTGCGGGAAGGCTGAATTTAAATTCGCCGCGTCACACGTTGGCGGGGAACACTACATTAAAATTTCAGCGGCCTAGCTTTCGTGTTCCCGATTTGAAAGTGCGGGACAAAACATGGGACTATCCAGAACCCACACAATATAATCGTGCAGCACCGAATCGAAGACCTTCTGGAAGTCAATCCAGGCCATGCTCAGGGGATGCCGCCGCTGTGTTAGCGCGTCCATAACCATCGCCCTGTCGAGGAGGTGCGCGTGTGTGCAGCTCCACTCCTTCCCCATCATGGCTCTCTGATTGTTCTGCACCGCTAGGCCGGTGCGGACATGTGCCGTGAGAGCCTTATATACTACCCCTGTTAAAATTTTATAACAAGTATTGAGGCATGTTATTGGCTGGTGGTTCTGGGGATCCGCTCTATCGCCGGACTTATAGAGCAGAATTGTCCGGCCCCTAAAAACCAAGGCCCGGGAACCTGGGTGGTATCCAGGGTTTGGATGATATATTCCCGTAGGCGGACTCCTGCTGAGGGCAATTTCTTCCACCAGAAAGCCTGTATCCCATCGGGACCTGGGGCTTTTCGGGGTTTTGCACGTTTGATAACCCAGTCAAACGAGCTCCTCAGCAGATCCGGATCTACACCCTCCCTAGTCGGGTACGTGCGTTGCATTTTCTCCCTCCACTGATTGAGGATCGGAGGCAAACACACACACATAGACAAACCCGTAACAATATGCGTTTTGTACTGTTATTACATAGCACAAAACGCATAAAAATCGGTGGACGAACAAGAGCGGTTGCATCCAGAACAGTTCGACAAAACAAAAAAAGGCCGCGGTCGCGGGAAAGGGTTCAGTCACGCTAATCGATCCCCGTTTTTGCTAAACAAAAAGTGATGCAAGCAACAGGACTAGCAGTTCCTACAGTCATCAACTCAGCAGTGAAAAAAGCAGGCCTCGCTGACGCAGTTCGTTGCTCATGCATGCCAGTGATTTCGACCAGCTAGCCCCTCTGAGCACATTGCAGCGAGTCAGGGAACCATCGATAGATTTTTCTGCAAGCTGCTGCTTTAACGAAGATGCTAATTCTCACTCAGGCACGCCTTTCCGCCGCATCCAAAAAGTGAAATGCTCAATTCGGCGCGAAATGAATTACTAAACCTCAAATTGAATCCGTTCAAAGTTAAACATAAAAACCAAAACTCGCGCCACGCTGAGGCATTCGGGTAATAGCCCGAGCGGTAGACTGTCTCAACAACCGAAAAGATTGTCGATGGCCCACTTTCTGAAATCGCCCTACCTTGTTTCTGCACACTGTCTACGATAAATAGTGTTGCGTTGCATCTGAGCTATTGTGCTTGTTCTCACTTTCTAGTTGGAAGATCAGAAACAAATAAATCAAACCCGTAAAGCTGTGTTTAGAAGTACATCAGTTACCAGCGTTGTTCTCCGTTTGTTGCAGAAAAAGTACCAAGCAATTAATAAATCTGTTTAACTTTTTTTTAAGAAGCAAGACAAAAAAGTTACAGGACTGATGAAGCATTTTACATTATTCCTTGCAGATTCTAAAGCTAAAGTAGGTATTATCAGTGAATCTTTTTCACTACACATAAATATAACGAAAATACCAAGAACACCCAGATCGTCCGGGAATCTCAAGGGTATCCCATGTTAGTGATGTTACTGAGATGCTCCCACATGGGGGGCACAGCTTGTTGCGGTAAATCTGCGAAAGAAGCCGCTACAAAGAAAAAGATGCCTAGGGAAAGCAGCAAAACAGAAAGGCATATTTGGCCTTGAAAGATATATACACAGGTAGAAGAGCCGCCAGGCTGATGCTGGAGCATAAGGCCTGACGGTGTAAGAGAGGGAGAGGGTAAGGGAAGCAAGTTGCGTCTAAATGTGGAGGGAAGTGGTTCGATTTCGATTCCCTCCTAATGCATAACCATTTTCAAAAAAGGCCTTCGTTCCCGATACAGTTGTGCCAGGGCCTCCGGTTCTGGAGTGCATACCCCTACCTACTACGCGCCGCTTGCTTAATGTATTACAGCACTGCAAATGAAAAAACTGGAAATGTGTTAATTTGAATATATAAGCGATTAT